GCACTTTCTTTAAAAAAAAAAATCGAAGCAAAGTTGGGGGTGCGTTTATTGTGCAGGGCAAATTTTATGAAAACGTTCTCCATATGAGAAAAAATGTGGTAACGCAAAAAGAAGAAAGTTAGGTTGCTTAGCCTTTTGCAATCGACTAACGCATCCACTGTCTGGAAACAGCTTGTTGCACTTGTAGTGAACTAGAGGAGATATAGTTGCACTTCATTCATCTTTGGTGATTGATAGCGCTTTCTTCTGCAAGCTGTCCTAACACCGCCCGCACACTCCTTAAAAGCATTTCATACCGGCTGCGGCGGCTGCATTTCCGATGGAGGCGGAAATGTTGTAGGCCCGTGTGCTCAGATTTGGGTGCACGTTAAAGAACCCCAGGTGGTCGAAATTTCCGGAGCCCTCCACTACGGCGTCTCTCATAATCATATGGTGGTTTTGGGACGTTAAACCCCACATATCAATCAATCAAAAGCATTTCGCGGCTTTCTTTACTCACAATCTTTTAACCACAACAGTGGTATCTGCTGTGATGTCTAGGGGCACCCAGAAGCGTGCGCTACAATGCACTTTGCTAACTTCGCGGCAACTTCACACGACGACCTTGATGTCGCCATTGACAATACACCAAGCTAACATCCAAGCATCCAAAACAAACCTTCAATAACAAGATTAACGTCTCGCTGTTCACATAAGTAAAGTTTCGTATTTGCAGGAAGCTAACGTCGGTTGGCGCAGGCAGTTTCGTGATTTTCGCTCGCTGTGTACTTATTAGCTGCAATGTTTCTACACTCGCAACTTTCATGAACCCCACTGTAGTGCACGGATAATAAAAAAAGACAGAATATGCTGCACGCAGATAGAAAGAATATTATGTCGCCTGCATCGGGCGAAGGGGGGAAGGGAGTGAGCAGAGGTGGTCGAAGGGGTTGGCATAATAATAAAAAATGACAGATATAACAGGGCAAGGAGGTGCCAGCCATTGGTTAGCGGGACTGCATAGGACAAATGTAGGGGGTGTGTTTAATACATGGGAGAAAAAAATCTAAATTTTGACGAATGAAGTTCCGTGTGTGTGTTTATTATGCGAGTAAATACAGTATGTTGAAATCATTGTCAGCGATGCCTTTCAACATGTTGCTTACCTTGTCCACCTCCGGCATGTCTTTGTCAGTCTTGTGGCACAGTGCCAGCACGTCTTGGATGTACACGATGTGCGTCTCCATCGATGATTCAACACGCGATGCGAGTTGAATTCTGGCTGTCATCTGACGTACAACTGACCGGCCAAACAAACCGTGATGCTTCCACTTGCACACGTCCGAGCTGGTCAGTTTTTCCTCATGCATTTCATACCAGAGGCGTGCCACACCCCGGGGGGGAAAGAACATTTGCCAGCATAAGCGTCTTGTCCCACTGTGTTGTTTGCTGACCCGCTCGAATAAGACAAGCCATTCTTCGACGCCCAAGTTGTCCGTGCCACAAAATGTGCTGGGGTCGAGAACATGAGAAGGAATCAGTTGTGATGAAGCCGGCACGGTCTCCAAGGCCTGGATGTTGGTTTCAGGCATCGGGGCTGGACAAAGCTGGCTTCTGATACGGAGTTCCAGAGCTGGTTTGTTTGAATACCCTGCACCTCCACTAAAATGATGTCACGGGGAAGATTTATTTTGTGACAGCGGGCCTAGCTGACGCCTTGAAAGCACACAATATTGCAAGCTAACAGGGCAGCTCGAGAGTCAAGTCACAACCACAACGTCATCATCTTCCTCCTTTGACTGAATTTTCAGTGCTTATACCGAAGTGACGTTTCTATACACATTAAAGTATGTTTATAACAAATTATTGGACATAACGAAGTATTTTGATGGCAGGTGTCATTATAATGAAGTGTGAGCGTAAAAGCAAAAGAAATCAATCCCTAGAGGCTTCTAAGCTTTATGCTTTGGGCAAATAGCAATGTAATCTAAGAGTGAAAATAGAATTCTACGTTACATTATGCGCCACTGTGAAAATGTTGCTTTAGTAACAGGGAAATGCAGTTTGTACAAGTAATTAAATGAAAAAAGCGTACAAGCATAGTTGCCAAGTCAGACACTTGAAGGCTTGCTCTTTTGCTGGACGGCCAAAAGTTCCACCAAAACACTACGCAGGAGTAAGCTATCAGTGCTGTACCGTAAACATAGGCGACCACAAGTATGTATTGACAGCATGATAATTTTACAACTGACCTATTTTGTTTGGCTGTAACCAGGGTTCTCCCCAGAAAATTTTGAGAGGTGGACGGCGAGGGGGGGGGGGGGGAGGAGGTCGTGTCATATGAGCGTTAACCGAATAATGACAACACAACAGAGGGTCAAGCAGGGGGAGGGAGGGTGGGTCCTATTAGCATAAACCGAATAATGACAGCGCAACAGCAGATGTGCAGATGTTCAAGCAGAATTACAAAATACAAGGGACTTTATTTCTTATTTCTGCCTTCCCAGACATGTTACACCTTCAGCCTCCGATTCTTGCTCTTCGCCCACTTTTCAACAACCTCTTCATATGGATAGGTGTCAACATCAGGTCCTTCGCATGCAATGCGAATAAGGCAGTCCAGCGACTTTTCTTTCAGGCGGTTTCTTAGCTGCGTCTTAATTAGCTTAAGAGCAGAAAAGTCTCGCTCACAGTCTACAGTGTGCGGTGGCAGTACAAGATATGACCCTGCTAAACAAGCCATGATAGGAAACAGTTCTTTCATATCATGTGCCACAAAAAGCAAGAAGTCTGCAGCTGTCAGCTTTTGTACACGGTCGCACTCAAGCACGAAGTTGGCAAAAGCAATCTACTCTGCAAGCATATCCTCAGTATATGGCTTGCCAAGAGTGGGGCAAAGCCTCTGCAGCGCACTGACAACTTCAATGCCGTTGCCACCAACAATTTGTTTGTAGCTGCTACGGTCAAACACAGTAGAATAGCTGGCCAATATAGGGTGGTCCTGAAACCTGTCCTGGATATTTTCCAGCAGCTTCTTGACAAATGCCCTTTCGGTGTTATGGAGCCATTGTTCAGATTCCTCTGTAATGGTTACCACTATGTCATGGCTGACACAAAAATCCTTGACCTTTGTTTGGATGTTGCTTTGCGTTTCCAAGGTCTTTATGCATGATTTTATAAGTCCTTGTATAAGGTCCACCTGCAGCGATGATGTTTGAAGAGTTCTGGAAAGCCTGTCAATTTCTAGGAGAAGGTCACACATCATCAGTAGAGTCCCAACAAACTTTGCATTCGTCACGAACTTGAGCAGTCCCGCTGCCCTGATGTCACTGCGTTGTTCTGCCTCCCTAGAGAGACTGATGATGATGGCCGAGAGATTATTGCGGATGGCTGTGCATAACCCGCCAACACTCAGCCACCGTGTGGCAGATGGCTCGATGATTTTCTCTCCACGTTGCTCCGACTCCAAAATGTTCTGCACAGCAATCAGCCCAGCTGTTCGAACTGAACTGGATGCATAGAAGTTGTACAGTTGCTGCAAAAGTTCTTTAAATTTACTGATGTATGGAATTGATTTGGCGGCCTGCAATGCTGCTAGGTTGAGCTTGTGTGCCACACAATGAACCCCTACAGCCTGAGAGCTGTGGGGAGCTGTTAGAGCTTTTTGCTTGTCAATCAATAACTTCACAGCCCCCCCTTTTTTTCCCGTCATAACAGGTGCGCCGTCAGTTCCAATTCTGCGAAGGGCACCAAAGAGCAGACCCTTCTTATTCATAAAATCTTCAACGGCACAAGCAATGTTGGTGGCATTGCGGGCTAATGCTCTTTCGTCACCTTGGTGTGGTTCGTGGTTGCCCAGTACATCAATCATAGTCAGGAATTTTACTCTTAATTCCCCACCGAAAATGTACCTGCAGTGGATGACCAGCTGCTCCACAGTTGCGCAGTCGGTAGTTTCGTCGAACATGAGAGCATAGTGCTCACTCTGACGAAGTTCGCAAAGGATTTTATCTTCAATGACATCCGACAGGCACGTGACCATCTCCTGAATTGATCTCTGGCTACAGTACGTAGCATTCTTTCCGGCTGTTATTTGTGCTTTCACATCAAGGCCAAGCAGAGACAGCAGACCGAGAAGCGGCTCGAAGTTCGTTGTGAGTGGTATCCGGTGTTTGCACAAGTAATACATGGACGCTTGCCTCATGGCGTTGCGGGAGACCGGGCACTGAACTTTTTCAAGCGGCGACACCTTGCTGTTTGCCTCAAGCGTGACGGCGTCGCGGTGCGAATGGCACGCATCATGTTTACGAACACTGTCTAGCCTTTTGCATGGTTGTTCATTCCATACGGGCTTCTCTAAAGGCCTCTTGTTGTATTTTATGCACAGCTTGCAAAACATCCCACCTTTGATGTTGTCATAAAAAAGCCATGGATGGTCATGTATCCAAGATGCGTTGAAGACTGCTGCCTGCTTGCCGACTTCGCAAGCATTTGTCTCATCACACGTTGCTTCAACGCTTGGGGTTGAACTGCCGCCATCATGCGCACTGGATTTCAGTCCCTGCGACACAGGCGATGTCAGGGGCTCAACAGCGTCCACGTCGGGTGCTTCAGGCTGCGTAGTTTGTTCTTGCGGATCACTACTGGTCACTTCTTCGGTTGCTTATCGAGAAAAAAAACGACAGCAGAGACGGCTGCGCCGCCTTTTTTCTTGCAGCCATCTCCCGCGCACTGAACCAACTGAACGACTGAACCTCTGACTGAGCGAACAACGAACGACTACGAATTCCACGAGGTTTTTGTTCGCGTAGTCAGAGAATACCACTGGCGTAGCGCGCGTGCGCCCGCCTCGTTTGCTTGGATTGGATTGGATTTACGGGGTTATGAAGATGGGACGTTCAGTGGCGCCACACCACGAATGTTTTAAAAATGTACATATACGCCGAGCGTGTAGGCGCTGTCTTTACTAGTGATGCTGCGCAAATAGGAAAATGCAGCTTCTTGAGAAAGCAATAACTAACCTTGAGAGCTTTGATAAAAGCATGGCTCGCTCCATGGCACCTCAGCAGGCTGCGACACTCGTCACAATCCTTGGCAATGTTGGTAAGACACCAAGCCGCCTGTTCCTGCATTGTGTTGCGAAAAAGACTGCAGGTTTCCATAAAGGCATGCGGTGATATGCACGGTGATGGTGTAACACTAATGGTAGATTGACTATATTGACAGTGCTGTGGCAATTCTGTGATACAAATTTGAATAGACAGGTAATTAGAACTGCAAAAATTGTTGCCCAAGCAATGTTATACGTATCTGAATAAACAAAACCTAAGAATTTGAAGTTTTAAAACAACCCATTGGTTACTTCTCATAAAGTGGTTTGGTCTTATGGACCACCTCTCAGAAAAAAAAAGAACTCATATCACATTGACTAATGCTTCAACACGTCTTTGAAACTTTTATATAACCTTGATTCTCATAACAAAAAAGTCTTAACAAAATAACAGACATAATGAAGTAAATAAAACTTCTGTTCAAAAACCTCATGGGGACACATTATAATTTAAAGCCTTGTTTTAAAAAGTAAGGTAGAGCAGTCGATAGATATAACCAACTAAAATCTTTAAAAACGAAAATTCTCCACGAACTGCAGCCAACTTTTATCACTTTCCATGGTGTTCCGTGGGGGTGCAGTGGGGCTGTTCAGAACTTGCATTTACAACGAACTCTCAGTAAATGGAAATCTCTTTAATGGAACTGCTGCTTAAATAGAGCATCTGCTTCTAGTACGATTGGCTTTTTAGCTGAATTCTGCACTCCCCTTCATCTCTCGGCAAACAGAAATCCTGTTAAATGAAGCACATTTTCCTGATCCCTTCAGGTTCCATTTAACGAGAGCCTACTGTACCTGCATTACCATGTGTTGTGTGCCCCTGTGAATGGTAGTGCGCAAACAAAGGCCCACACAAGTGTTTACTCACACTACTGCACTCAATCCTGCCACGGACACCCTGCCATTGCAGTTGCTATAACCCTTTCTGCATGGAGCATAAATGGTCAGGTCCACTAGAGAAGCAGATGCAGCAACCATCTCTCAAATACCCATGAATTCTCCCCCTCCATACCTGCACAAGATATGGTGTCCAGAGTACACATTCTGCATCCAAAAGAAGCAACCTGATTGAACCAGCACTAAGCGAAGCTATGAATGAATTTGCATTGGTGAACCGTACTCTGAAAACCCTAATGTCGGTAAATACACCATTAGAGGCTTATCCATGAAAGAGAAAATCAACGTCGAAGTCTCATTTCGGGCTGAAACCTAGATTATTGACGTGACGGATTTCAAAGTGCACTTTGAGTGTTTTCATGTCATTGGCTCAATGAAATTTGCTGAAACACGGTGCACTTAAATTTATTAAATTATGTTACTTAATTGTTACTTAAGTACATTACTCAATTATTCACATTTGAATTACTGTATAATAGTATGGGATAATACAACATGCACCAATCTTGAATTCGTTGTCCTTTTACAAGAGAAATATCGTTGCCATGCATATAACTCTTTCTACACAGCATCAACAGACACTTTCTTCAGCAATTCTGGCACGATCCCTGCCCATAATCCGTACAGATACCGTTTGAGTCACATATACGAACAAGAAAACTATTGAAACATCAACACCCTACATTCAAACTAACTTCAAAGAAAAGCTCAAAGCTACGGTAGCTGACACTTGGAAAATTCGTTAGCACCAACACCACGTTCAAACTAAGGTAAACAAGTGATTCACTTTATGATACCTGTACTGTTAGACAATTATATGTTAGTACAGTTTAATCCTTTTATTGCTGTAGTCATCGGAATATTTTTATAGTTGTAAAGAAATATGTCTGCTTAGGACAGGCAGTAACCACAGAGTTGAACCATAAGAGTGAAATAACTAGAAGAATAAGGATGGAGTGAATCACATTCGGCAAGCATTCTCGAATCATGAATGGCAATCTGCCACTAACCCTCAAGAGGAAGGTATATAACAGCTGAATCTTGCCAGTACTTACCAACGAAGCAGAAACCTGGAGGCTTACAAAAAGGGTTTAGCTTAAATTGAGGACAACGGAGCAAGCGATGGAAAGGAAAAGGATAGGTGTAACCTTAAGAGACAAGAAGAGAGCAAAGTGGATAAAAGAACAAACCGATGTTAGGGATATCATAGTTGAAATCAAGAAAAAAAAATGGAGATGGGCCAGGCACGTAGCACGTAGGCAGTATAACCGCTCGTCATTAAGGGTAACTGACTGGATTCCCAGAGAAGGCATACGCACGAAAGGGAGACAGAAAGTTAGGTGGGCTGATGAGATTAAAAAGTTTGCAGGTGTAATGTGGCAACAGAAAGCACAAGAGCGGGTTGATAGGCAGTACATGGGAGAGGCCTTTGCCCTGAAGTGGGTGTAGACAGGCTGATGATGATGATGAATCTTTTTATGGCCACCTTCAAAGAACTGAGACGGATATATGCGGTTTTGGTACAGATACGTGTTGCAAGGCGTACACCTCTTTGATTTTGCTGCCTTTTAAGATGAATGTTTGTGTTTGTATAATCATGCAGAAGTGTATATATGTTCATATACAATATTGCCTCACTGCCAAATAAAATGAAAGGGTTGTAGGTTAGCCAAACTACCTGAGAAAACTGTTTTTCTACAATCACCTCATTACTTCTTAAAAATGGCAAATAAACATTCTGAATTTCAAATTACGTCTCTGCCCCCTCAGAGGACAACATACTTCAGTCTTACTAATTAGGAACTATGTGCGGCCTAGTAGATGCCGTCAAAATCTATGATGCCTCACTCACTACGGGTGCATGTGGGCTAGATTTACAAGCTCAGATTTACTAAACTAGTGTAATATATTACATTCAACTACAAAATAAAAATTACGTATCACATATTATAAAAAAATGAGCATATTTGACAAGACTCAACTAATCTGCTCAGCACATTTTTTTAATTGAAATGAAACATGTGCGAATTTTATTCTTTTTGGTTCAACGAAAGTGGAAGCAATAGTAACAGCATTTGAGTTTCAGTAAAATGCAAGTATAACCTCTAAAAAAAGTTATGCTTTTCAAATGCACTATACCTAGGGCATATAAGCCAGTACAACAATAGTTTTAAACTTGAAAAATGATGAATCAATAGGAAGGTAATATGTTCATTCAACTTTCGTGGAAATTTGAATTTTCCTGTATAGATGTACTCACAGCCTAGCAACCATTCACTGCTGCAGAACCACTTATACAGAAGGTTACATGCAAACTAAAGTACACCTATTAGTTTATTTCAGATACTTGAAAATTTCCAATACTAACTAAATTCAAATCGAAGCAAATCTTAGTACTGTAATATTTCTTCAAATATTTCAAGTGCTAAAATTCACACAAGCCTATACTATAAATAATGCAATGTTTGCAAATATGGCACCACAAAGATTGCATTAAATCTCAAGCCATTAGAAAGGTAATGCCATTTTCTGTGCCTGTATGACACAGGTAATATTGTCATAGTCTCAGAATCATCTTAAACCCAGGGCCAGCATGTTTCTCAGGCAATTGTATTACCATACTAGCTGGCCAGCAGGTCGAAGCATGAGGAAAAATTAATTGACAATGTGCAGAGACGTTGAGTGTGGTCAATAAGTTCTGCAGAACAAGCATGTTAAATGAATATCCATACAGGAAAGAAATTGTCATCTACTGCTGTTATTACAAGACATTAATTATAATGTCTGGGATTTTATTTCGTGGAAACCATGATATGATTACGAGAGATGCCGCAACGAAGGGCTTAGAAAATTTTGACCATCTCGTATTTTTTAATGTGTCCTCATAGTGCACAGTACACTAGCCTACAGTATTTCATCCTTACGAAAATGTGACTGCCGCAACTGGGATCTATCCTGACACCCTAACTGCTACACCGCCATGGTGGACGATCACACGAGATTGTGTTACATCAGGCGCTGCATATCTTGCCTGAAGAAAAGGGTTGGTGCCATTGAGGAATGTGATCAGATAAGGTCCAGCAGATCGCAGCACCCGGTAGGTGGCCTTGTGGTCACCACAGGCTATGTTGGTGAGGCAAGACAGAGCCTCAAGCTGGCATGAGGATTCAGTGGTGCGCAGCGTTATGGACAGGAGTTGCTCCAAGGCACCATTGGTCCTGATTGACAAAGAAAGCATAGTAGTGTTAGAAAATTTCCGTGCATTTTTGTAGTTAGTAAATTGTAATGCGACCCCGATTGCAATGTGAAAGTTGACTTTTCATTGCATCCAGGAAGGAAAAAAATGATATGAAAATAAAAGAATTGGTGCATTACTGCACTTTTTTGGCTGCTTCATGCCTTTGGGAGCAAATGCGTACTTTACTTATGCAGCATGGTTGCCTGTGGTCGAGTACGTATCTCTAGAGGACATATATAGATGGCTCATAGCTTTGTATGTCTTGTGCTCTCATAGCAATGCTCACTTTGAGTGCATTATTACAGCATGCCTCTGAAAGCAAATGCATGCTTGACTCACAGGGCCTGGTTCCCTGGAGTCAAGTGCATATCTCTAGATGCCATGGCTCACAGCTTTGTATGCATTCTGCTCTCATGGCGAAGTGCGTGTTGAAGCCATAAGCTGCAAGCAGGTCACCTTGCTCGCTGCATTCCCTATAGAAGTGAGCTGCTAGCCTTTCTTAGTACAATGTTCCCATTTGTTATCACATTCATTTAGTTTTCATGGCAAAACTATGACTCGTTTCATGGGAAAGGTAAACAAATCATGACAAGATGCACATGGAAAGTCTTGTCTGGCATGCGACATTAGAGGAAAGAAAATGATATATCATTTATGATTATGTAATGTGTAGTTTTCAATTAGGGCTACAAATATGGATAGCAGCAGCAATCAAATACAAGTTTGCAAAAGAAAAGTCAATAGGCCTGCAGGAAAAGAGAAAAGGCAGAAGTAGGTCACGGGAACTTTTTCTTAGCAAAAGAATATAAAGAGAACAAGAAATAACGACTTTTTGTGCCTTTCCAAAAACATTATTTATTAGAGGCTGTTTCATTGCTTGGAGGCAATAGTTATCAAGCGTTGCAGCTCATTCAGTTGAAGAGCTTTTGGCTGTGGCAGATTAATTTTGACAGAAGTGGAGTACAAATAAGCACTCGTGTACTTCAATTTATAGATTACTTCAAGGTCATCTGTAGTGTTCTTTAACGTGCACTGACACTGCACAGCAGATAGTTCTCAAGTGTTTTGTCTCTATAGAAATGCGACCGCCGCCGCCGGCAACACCGCCGTGACTCTCGGGTCGGAAGCCGGGCACCATCGTGGTAGATGCTGAAATTAACCTGGTCAGATGGCACCACGAACAAAAGCAGCAACTCTAATGCAATGACACTTGTCAACAACTCATGCTAAGGTATTGGACTCAGAGTGCGAGCCATTGTCACTTGCCCTGTCACAGTGGTCTTTACTTTTTCTATTTCTACTGTCCGTGTCTTGAGCAAACTATCGACCAGTGTGCGACATCGCAGCATACCTGAGGAACCTACTGATGTAATCGCCACCCAAAGCCAGTGAGTTCTTCATCTTCCTGAAATAGAGCTTGTTGTTCCTTTGGGCCTTTATATCTTTCAGGAATGCTTCAAACTGCAAAGATAGAAGAGATAAATGTGCCTGCATCATAACACAAAATTTCATGCCAATAAAACTGGGGGACCATTAAGCTTCACCTTTAAGAGTTGAATGCGATAGCAATATCCTGTCCCTCGTGGATATTTCAACCACTTCAAGCATACGTTTTAATGTATGGCGTTACTCGAGAAGTTTAAATGGTGAATTACTACAACGCAACCGATGAAGTTGAAAGTGGCTTGTGTCAGTGAAGTTTTTGCGTATGGCTGCATTCTGCATAGCATGCCTTCAACGACGACCAATCGTGCAATTGTGAAATCTCGAACTTGCTATGCACCCACCACGTGATCTTAAGGAAATACATCCAGGAACGTGTGTGGTTTTTGTAATGGGTGGCCAGCTTTAAAGCATGAGGTCTTAACGACAATCACATCTACTGATGCCCAATGGCAATGCACACTAGTAACCACGCATTATTACCATGGGCACTCGTTGGGTGTGCAAGGGAGGCAGCAAAAAAGGCGACTGCCCCCCCCCCCCCCCCTCTGGAATTTTAGATGGTTTTCTATGCAGTAGCAATAAGGTACAGTTTGATCAGCACACTCATGACTCCTATATCAACGTGATCCGACCTTCAGTATTGCTAACCAACTTTGCATGTTGTAAGATCGTGTCACGAAAATTTGGTTACCTGTGGTGAGTGCCCCCCTCGCCCCTGACGATGCCCCCCGGAAAAAAATTCTGCGGACACCCTTGAATATTACAGCGATATTACATGTTGTGTTGTAAAGCCTTTATACAGGACGCGTGTGTTTGTAAAATAGGAAAGTTATTTCAAACGCGTTTATAAGTAGACACATGGCTGCGTCTTTCTCGATTTTTGGTCACGCACCAGATGATGATTTTTCGCATCCCAACCAACGACGCCAACGCCAGAATTTATGCGAAACTGCCTCTTTAAAGTTATCGCGTTAAAACATGTTTAGAAAATTTTGGATTACCTCTTCGACCGCTACGGGCTCAAACTCCTTAGCGGAAACCGATGCTCCTCGTCTGTCATGCACGAGTTTTTGTCGACGCTCCCTCTGTTCATCTGCGAGCGTAGGCAAGACGAAATATTACGTTGTGCTCCGTTGTGCGTTAATAAAAAAGCGAAACGAAAGTACGAAATGATTATTCTAGTAATGTTAAAAACGCACCGGACTGCTGACTCCGTAAAGCCTGCCTTATTTCGTCGACCATGGTGTCCGTCGTGTCTGCCTACGCTAGATGGGACAGCACCGCGGCTCTCATAAATATCCGGGAACCAATGCCGCGCGAATATACTTTATGACCAGCGTTGTTATGTAACAAACGCGCAATCTATGGAAGTGTTTTATGTGTCCACAAGATCGACTATGAGGGCCGCCATTTTTTAAAACTTGAAATCGACTTGACTTTGGCTGGCTTGTAAAGCATCTTTTCCAGCAATTTTGCTCGCGTGCGAGTTCGCACCACTGTAGACTGATAATTACTTCCCCTTAGAGCGAAGTTTGATAACACATTACTTTGTAAAAAAGTGACAATATACAACTAAACTATCATTTTATCAACGTTTTTGTTATTGGTGCAAATTTTCATTTATTCATATATATTTTATTATTATGGGTTTAGTTACGCGCCATGCAGACGCAAGGTGTTGCTTTGCTAGAACTTGCCCGGCAAATTTGTTTGACACGACATCATTTGCATTAGAGCAACGTCTTCGCTTGCAGCCTGTTGCGATGGTAAGATATACTGCAAAAATAGTATTATGCCCTTAAATAACCCAGATTTCTGCTTTCGTGTGCGATTTTATCTGTTTCGTGAGTGGTACGCGCTGCCCAAAGTGCTTTCGGCACTGAATTTACTGCAAGTTCTGAGTTGTCATAACAAATTGTGATTGTTCTTCTTTCCAGTCTAAGAGGAAAGGCGTAAGCGCTGAAGAAAAGCGACAACGGATGCTACAGGTCTTCTACGAAAAGGTGAGCCGTTAGCGCACGTTTTATACCAGTTCTCTTAGGGCCACACGAAGTGTCAGTTTTGTCTGAACAACTTCAGCAATTACGAGATATTACGCGAAAACCTCAGAATTCACCGTGCTTCGATGACCGCATGCATGTATATAAATGAGATCAATGTGTAAAGATTTCTGTGTGCAGTTTAATAATAATAAATATGCCCAAGAGGGCAGATGAAGCCCGTAGCAAGGAATATAAGTGATAATAGGGGGGGGGGGGGGGGATGGGGTACTGCCTACGATCTTATTGTCAATATTTATTTTCCATGAAACTCCTCTTTCCCCTGGCTACGTGCCTTAGTGAGATAAGTGCAGAGCCAATTTAGTGCTACACCGAGCATTTTGAGTCAGTATAGAACACCTTTCAGCGTATAGCTTAAACTGGGCATTTTCTTGTGCACTTTTGTGCGTGTCCTAATACCTGGACCAGCTGCCACTACTACAATATTTTATTCTTCTCTCGTTATTTTTGCAGAAAGATGTGTTTCAACTAAAAGACCTCGAGAAAATCGGTCCCAAGGAGAAGGGTGTCATAGCACAGGCGGTTAAAGACGTCGTCCAGTCCTTGGTCGACGACGGCCTCGTGGACTCGGAGAAGATTGGCACGTCAGTCTACTTCTGGTCTTTCCCCAGCAAAGCTGTCAGCACGGTGAGTGGACTTTGACATTGAGCCAGGTGCAGGTAATGTGGGGAAGAAGTTGTTGAAATTCATCTACTTGCTAAAGTGTCTCTGCATCTTGTGTGTGTTCAGAAGAGGAGGCCTAGGTAGGGGGGCTTGTGGAATGCTGGTAAACAGCTTTGTATGGCAACGAAGGCAAAGCTATTGATCGACTGTGAATCGCCAGAAAAAATACGGTCTCTTGAGAAACACAAGGCAAGATACTACAATCAACTAAAAGATTTATTGAGAAAAACAATGCCCTTTTATAGGTAAAATAAATGCACGGCACACAAAAAACAAACAAAGTTAACCACGCGATCACACACAGAAAAAAACCACAACAAACAAGAGATACAAACTGTGCATGCCCTCAAACAGAGAAAACAACAACAACAAAAAAAAAAGCGTTTTTTTACTTGCCCCATTAAAAGAAGCATCCTCACAATCGGAGAGCTAAACCGACAGTTTGCTAGCACAATCCCTGTCACTTTTCCTGATACTGAAGGCCTCAATGATGCCAAAGTTGTATCTAGGCTGGCACGTTCATGCGGAACACTCGCAACGTGGTCTTGGGAGGCACGGCTTTCCGAGCTGGCGCTGGGGAGCCAACTGGTGACCCTAGACCAGGCCCGGCAAGCTGCTGCGACCAGTGGGACTCTACAACAGGGTTCCACCCAGGATTAAACCACATACTGTCTCATTGATATAGTCTATTCTCCCTCTCTCAGTATGCAAGTGAACAATTGTAGTATCGTCAAACTGAGCATGGCACGGGCTTTATTCTTGCAGTGCATTGCAAGATGTGAATACGGTACCCCTTTCAACTAACTTTCATATTCGCGAAGGCGTACATTTAGGCATTGGCCCGTTTGACCAATGTAATGCCTTCCATATCTGAAAGGAACATCGTATACGACATCGCTTTAGCAGCTGACAAACTTGGTGTCTTGTTTGATACAGCACCCTTGCCTGATTTCAGTTCTTTCTTTGTTCGCTAATCTTCGCACTGCAGAGATATATCTTCGCCAATTAGTTGTTGGCTGAGAATAGTACATGCACCCTATTGCTTCAGCACTACCTTCATGAATTTATGTGATGTATAGTACAGGTACGTGGTAATTCATAAAAGGGTATTGTTTTTCTAGATGAAACTTTTAGTTGCTAGTGCTCTAAAAAGTCTCGGAGTTCTTTCTAGTGTTTCACCGTCATGAACCAAAACGCCCGACTGGCAGTCATTCAAAGCTATTGACGCAAAGCATGTTCGAGTGAAATCACTTTTGCAAGAAATCTCACGTTATCATCCACTTTACCATTAAGCTGAAGAAGAGCAGATGTAAACTTAATAATTACTGCATAATCAGGTGAAATTGGCTAAGTGGTGAGTCCCGCTTTTAGGTTTTTCTCTTTTCGGCCTAAACATTTGTGATATCATTATACATAAATTCTATGGTGATCCACGGTATTTAGCATGTGGAGGAGCTTACTGTAAATATGCTTGGTTCGCCATACACTAAGCACCTATCACTGTGAATTTATAGAGAAGTCAACTTCTCTATAAATCCTAGCATCTATAAATCCTAGCAGAACCTAGCATCACACTTCTTGTGTGATGCTAGGTTCTGGGTCTTTGTAGTTCCAAGAATTTTCATTACAATGCACTTCTAGCGGTACCACAGTGTACATAGCAATGTTCTGTGCCGTATTGTTGTCGTATTGTATTGTTGTCGTAATTCTGTTGTCGTATTGATAATGGGTGCAAGTCGGCTGATTGCGGGGGCAGAATCAGTGGGTGTGTCTGTGTAGCGGCGAGCCGCGAGTGTGTGTTTCGTATGGCACGCCAGTGCAGCAGCTGCGTCCTTCGGACGTTATCGACGACCATCGAGAGCCTGAGTTCTACCAAAATAAAGTGGTTGCCCCAAAGTGCCTTCGAGTTCCTACAGTACAAGTTCCAACACTACGTGACAATATAGTCTCAGTGACAATAAACATTTCCAAAAATGTATTCATGCATTAATAGCACGTTCTGTTGTATTAGATCAGCACTGGTGGCATTGTTCGGAAGTCATTAACGCTGCACTGTATAGCACTGGTTACGATGCTTAGTCGAATGCAATGCAAGTTTTTTTCTTTTTCTAAAGTTTTGTACCTGGAGTCGACTCTCATGTTACAATTAAATACTGATATTCAACTGGTCTAAAAGGTGCATTGATGCACACAATCATTTTATCTTTGTTTTAATTTTTTAATTTTTGTCTTCCTCTACACAATGAAAGGTCACCCCTGATATCATAATCATGGTAGTGTCATAAACGAGTAAATACCACGGTATAAATAAAAATTTCCATGTTTAAAGACCAAGTTGTGGCTCGGTGACAATTATTCAATACTTTATTCTTGAAAATTTGGGTCTCTGTACAACAGCCCGCGTTTCTAGCTCAGTTTTTCTAACTTGGTTGATCGCAAATATGGCACCTCGCCACGGTGGTTTAGTGGTTATGGCGTACGACTGCTGAACTAACGATGGCAGGATCGGATCCCGGCTGCAGAGGCTGCATTTTCAATGGAGGCGGAAATGTTTGAGTCCGGTGTATTTCAATTTAGGTGCATGTAAAAGATCTCCATATGGCCAAAATTTCCAGAGCCCTTCACTACGGCATCTTTAATAACCATATCGTGATTTTGGCACAGTAAACACTAATTATTATTATTATTATTAGAAATGTTAGCTATACCTGGTAATATTAAGTGATTGCATTGAAAAAAAGGGGTAGTGTGCCCTGTGTTTTGATGTTTGGATATTTACGGCCTGACCTGAAACATCTGCAACTCATGCAATTTTTTTTTCAGAGGAAACGTAAAATAGATGAGCTGAAGACAAAAGTCGAGGAAGCGCAGAAGAAGCTTAAGTTTTTTGAAAATCAGCTGGCCAAGGCTCAAGTGGGAAGGGAGGACTCGGTGAGTGGTGGCATCTAGCAGGACCTCTGCGGCTCTCGATGTGGAAATTGCTGCTGGTAGTTAAAGTAGCAGTAAAAACGAGTATAAAATCAAAATGCATTAATGAAGTGCAGTTCTGACATTGTCAAACTTTCACCATTTTCCCCAGAATGAGGCTTGGCAAGCCAGATGGAACACGATGTCATCTCTGAATGTTTGCACCAGCTTTTTACGCTGTTATTCGTCTTGAGAGAGTGTGCTCGGGTCCAGTTGATTGTTTTTAGCTAAAATAAAGGATCACTGCAATAACTTCCAAATAAATGAAAGGCTATGTGTGTGCATAACATGTCTTGAGAGCCTTTTCACACCAAAGTTTACCACGTGTTAAAAGGTATTCTGAAACCTGCCCAATATTTGCACTTATGGACAGCCTATGTCCGAAACTTGATTCAGGCACACGATGTGCTGTTGACAATGAATGCTGCAGTGACGAGGAGTATGCTCACATAGGAACGAGAGGTGTATGCATATAATGCTGTGTACTTTTAATGGTGGGAAAGATGCGGAGCATTCTGAAATAGCAGTTGCAATGAAAAGAGCTTCTTTCTATACCATAAATGTGCTCTTTTCTATTTAGTCAGTTATTGAGATGGTTGGTTCACCAGTTTTATCATGACATGATACAATTGATAGAACTCGGGAAACCAAGCCTTAATTTTTTTTGGTAATGATGAAATTCAAATGAAAGTTTTTAAGCAACCATGTGCTATTAACAGTGTAGATTTGCCCTTTAGCTTCATATGGATTTCTGATGCAGCCTTTTTATATGCGAAGTATCTTATGGTCGAGCTCTATTTGGTGTGCGGTGTGACCACCCGTGCTGCGCATCCCAACCCTCTTTCTCCTCTAGACATCCCTTCCCGCAGCACATACACCCCCATTGTGCATGCGCAGCCCTCCTCTCCTACACTCGCTCTCGCAACGCTGACGCAGGTAGCGTCTGCTTGCGAGTTTCTTGATTGAAAAATCAGACTGCTTGTGTTGCACAATCGTTCACTGGCCACCCTTCAAAATACACACTGGATCTTGACCTCCAAGATATTGCTGGTGGGAGATTGTTCCTGTGCGTTGTTGAACAACGAAAATTTGCAGCATGCGCGTTGACTAAAAGCAGACTGCGGGTCTCTGTGACCAACTAATAGGAGTCTTCTTTCTCACACTGCTCATTAGAAGTGATTGGCATGTTCCAGTGGGAAACACCGGTTCATCACTGCGTGCTTTTCTCCTTCCCGGCCTTCTCTCCTGCACAAAACTGCGATGAATGCCAGCCTCAACACCGCCGTCCACTGCTTCCTGTCTATACATGGTTCTCTTTAGCGGAAGATGGTGTAATTTCTTACGTGAGGTTTCTTGTGATTCTTGTGACCATAGTGCCAAGCAAAGAAAGCCCGTCAATACATAACCTTAAATGTTCACAGCAGCTTCAGCTTGTATGGCTTCACATTTCCTCATTCTAGAGAGCCTCTTAATACCTACAAAATGCAATGCAGGTTTTTTTTGAGAAACCTACTGACCTGTGGGAAGTACCTATGCCAGATCAACCCATGTCTGTTCATTGAAGTAACGTTGGGTCATCTGTGTGTTCACAGCTAGTAACTGTTGTACTTGTTAATAAAAAACTCACAGATGCTGATAAATGTTTGTTAACCAAGTGCTTATACATTGACATTACTGTACATGTGGTGCAGGGAAGGGAAGATAATCAATGTGTGTGTGCTTGGAAGGTGCGCGTGACCACATAAAATGTTTGCTTGAACAATGAAAAAAAATTTTGCCATCTGAACTGTATGTTCAGACTGCTTAACCATCAGGAGGCATTTAGTGTAAAAGTCCATGTCAGAGGCATGAACAGTTATGAATTTAAAGGAGAGGAATGGCACAAAGGGTTCCTTTTTTAAACGCTGCTTTACCATGCCTTGCTAAAATAACGTTCTATATTTGTCTTTATGGCCACATGCGGCACTGGTTAACATTTCCAGGGTTAGAAATACATAACAAATTCGGCGATAAAGTGATTTTCATTATAACCTAGAAAATTAGAGCGATGCAAATGCAATGCTAAGGTTGTGGGTTCACTCTCCGCTGGTGGCAAGTTGAGTTTGCATTCATTTTCGTTTCCCTTTGTTTTTTCGCTACACTTTAGTGAAAAGCAAGTAACGCCCCGTATTCTTTTCTCGGCTTATCTTGAAGAGCTGACTTTTGTTATGCAACTGCTACAGCTTTCTGTTCTGTGTTGCCCACTTTCAGTAATTTCTTAGCTTTTGCGTCAAGTAATACTTGCAAGGATACCCGATTGAACAGTCGCTAGTTCATGCTCGCCCAATTGGTGGTCACGAAAAATAAGTGCCAGAATAGGATACCTCGGTGGGACCTCTGTGTAGGTTAAAGGGGTGTTGACATGATCAACCAGAAATAGAAGTAGGGGGTCTATTGCGCCTCCACAACTATGAAAAGTGGGCCGTAAAAGAACATTTCACTGCAAAATAAGCCCTAGAAGTCACCAGCTGAAATCCTATACAGCGCTGGCGACCACCATTTTAGCATCGCACGCGTGATGTAGTGTGCTGGAAAGAGCAAAGCCGTCATTTCCTCTTGAAGTTGCAGCCGCTGAAAATCGTTCGGTTTCAGGGTCAAACCAGAGAAAGCTAAATTATCATGCTTTCACGTGCAGTTGACTACGGAACAATATTGTTTGTCACAATGCAGATGCTTAAGCAGTTAGCTCCTTGTTACGTCACGGCCTGTAAGTGTTCCAGTGTTGCCATAATCTAAGGCCACTAGCATGCTTATAGAAATATTTTATTATAAATAAGGTGTGCGACCAAATGCACTAAAGTTTTTCCAGCTCATTTGTGAAGGCACAAAAATTAACCCACGTAACGTAGATTATGACAAAAAATTTGGTGTCATGGCCCCTTTAAATACGCAGCCAAGCTTACATAGATATATCGGCCTTTATTTACTGATAACTACATAGATGTTAGCCAAGTTTACCACCTGGCTTTGTATTTTAGGTGATAACTATGGCAGGTACAATGACCACACAAACATACACACTCACACATATAAATACACAAAGGAGTTATAAGCTTCTCATTCATGTCTGTCAATAAGAAAACTTTCTGATTGTTCTCCTGATCTCCGTTAAGAGCAGTCTACTTACAACTAAGTGTGGAATACAGGCTGCTGATGTGACCTGCTAGTGTGACTGCCTGGAAAGTATCACAACCTTCTTTTAATTTCTTTTTCGTGGTCTGGTTGTGATCCACGTATGTTTACTCTAGTTCTGGTGGGTTGCGAGGTGTGGGGGAAAAGGAAGGCGTCCAATTGTTGGAAAGCAACCATTTCGTTTTACTGCTTGTAATTTGCATCATCAGGCTGCCTTTGAAATGCAAAGCATCTTATGAGCGAGATTGATCCCGTGGCATCCACGCTCCACTGTGCATGCGCCTACTCTCTCCCATACTCTCACCTCTCTCGCCTTGAAACGCTGATGCAGGCAGCGTCTGCTAGAGAGTTTCTTGGCTGAAAAAACCAACTGCTCGTACTGCACAAACATTCACTGGCCACACTGTATATGTAGGCACTGGATGTTGACTTCTAGGGTAGGGCTGGTGGGAGATTTCTCCTGCACGTTGTCGAGCAATACAACTTTGCAGCTTGCTTGTTAACTAAAAGTGGACTGTGGGCCTCTGTGTCCAATTGGAATCGTCCGTCTCTCATTGCTCATTAGCAGCGATAGGCATGTTCCAGTAAGAAACAACGGCCCACCACTGCTTGCTTTGCACCTCCCCAGGTCTCTCTCCTGTGCAGCGCCACAATGAGTGCCAGCGTCAATGCCGTCACCAGTGTAAATGAGTGTAAGCGTTAGCGCACGCTGCTTCGCATCTACACATGGTTCCCTTAAGCGGGAGCTGGTGTAATTTTATGTAGTAAGCGATGTGCGAAGTCTAATTACAGGCTCAATTTAGCTGTGCAAATAATGAAGACACATGCACAAGAGAAGGCACATAGACAGGATGAGCACTAGGCATCTGCGAATGGGACTCCAATATATTTGCAAAAATGTTCAACAAGTGCGCACGTGCAAACACTATGCTTTTAAGGGAACCTTTTTGTGCACTTTTATCGCTTTTTTTATTGTTTGTGCATGTGCACATCTGTAAAAGAGCACTAAATTGAAACAATGAAATAGTTTAGATATGTAAATTATACCTTGAGAAATCCAGTATTGTCAAATTCACCATCATAGCTTTATTAATACAGCAGGAAATCAACGTCAAAGGATCATTTAAAAATTTCATGGCAAACTCGTCACATGTGACATTGGCTCAATGAAGTTTCCTGAAACTTGGTATACTAATTCTAGGACACCCGCAGAGGAAAATTTATCTTCATGCTTACTGAATGGGAACTGCGTAGAAGCTTGCTAAAATATGTTTGGTCATGAGGTTTGGTGATAGAATATTGAGGAGGTGTCACCACCCATATTTTCTTATTGGGCATTTTCTTGTTTTCTAGGCATCATCTCTTGGCAAGCACAACAATTTTGTAATTGTGAAAGAGTAATTTATTAATAATGGGACAATCGCCTGTCTCTTTAGCGTCTCTCTTTTTGTGGAATGAAACCAATTGATGTCTAGTGTTTGGTCTCTCTTCGTGTCTTCTCTTGTGTATGTGCATTTGTAATTTGTTCTGCGAACAAAGATTGCCAGGTCCAGCAACTAATTAGACCACATTACCGCTTTGACTGTCCAATAACACAGTCCGAACGAGAGGAACTGATGACCAAACTGAGCGAGTTGGAGCGCGACCGTGATGAGGTTGCAGCTGAGCTGGAAAAGCACAAGGACTGCGACCCAGAGGTTCTGGAAGAGGTGAAGAAGCAGACACTGGTTGCGAAGGAGGCCGTCAACAGGTGGACAGGTCAGTCACTGACGTACGGATGTGGCTTCGACATTATTGTGTGGACTGTCATGCAAGGAAAAGGGCGCAATTATCTTTCCACTTATGTTGTACCATCCTCGTGCTATAAACATTGCTGGACAATAACTTTCCTTTGCCTTGCAGGTTTACCCATAACTAATGCACCACTTTAGCAATTGTATGGATACACTCGGCTGGATTTTGTCACCGCCGTTGGCGTCGCCATCATCCACCGTATATGTATGTGTATCTGTATATGAGAACGCAAGAAAAAAAAATAATCCAGAAAAAAGACTCCGGATCACGGAATCAAACCTGCAACCTCTGAATTGTGAGTGTGAGGCGTTAGCTACGGAGCCAACCAAGGAGCACCTCCTTGAACGTTGAAACGGCAAGCTATTTATATCTACCACACTCCTGGTGATGGGCATCTCAGGGGATAACTATTGTGTTTTCAGCATTGCCAACAAGAAGTTGCAATGAGTGCGCATTGCCACATTGACGCAGCGGCACGAGCTTTCATCTCCCACGCATGCTATGCCCCATGGAGAGAAGGTGGTAGACGCTCGCTCGCGTGCCCGTATCTCGCGGTGGGGAGGATCCTATGTCTTGGCTGACCTTGGTTTTTTACTGGAACGATTCTGTCGTAGTTACCGAGTGCACAAAGGTCACTGTAATCGTTGCACAGTCTCCATTTGTGAAAAGAGTGCGCTTTCCAGACACAGCGAAATGACAATTGAGACGCTTATTCGCCTTCATTTGTACCTTTCAGTATGTTTGGTGTGTCATTTGTGCGTGAAAAACAAGGGGCACGTTTCGATCTGCTTGCTATTTTCATGTGACCTTCCAATTTGTTGCTATCACGCTCATTGCTTTACTTTTGCAGCAAAGCTGTGACTTTTTTTAACAAAGTGAAAACAAGATAAGTAGCAGCCACATGATGTGGCTTCTACTTATCTTGTTCTTCTGCAAGCATGTTTGTTCCTTCTGCTGGATGGCCCTATATGTAAAATGATTTTCTTACTAGTTTTTACCGTACTTTTGTTTTATTTTGTTCGGCTATTGCATTGCTTCTGTATTTTTTTTTGTATATTACGTGAAGCCCAGTTTGCTTGATTCAAAATTATGGCAGTGTTTCAACAATAAATAAAAATTAGCATAAATGAATGTGGATGCAAGGATGAGGCATAAAAGGAGCGGTTCCTGTTGTTATTGTCTGTCTTCATTAATGTCAATTTTGCTACACTCTAGTGCTTAAGTAATACTGAAAGATAAGCTAGTTGTTACGTATACATCATAATACCGTATATACTCGTGTAAGGGCCGCCCTCGTGTAAGGGCCGCACCCCAACTTTGAAAGCGGATATTTCGAAAAAAAAAAAAACAAAAGTTCAAAATGTCCCGCCAGAAAAGTGTAGTTAGTTCATTTACAGCCAGATGGCGCTGCACGCTTTTCCGCTTTTATTCTACTTCCGCCGACGCGCCGACCACGCTGTTGACAGCGCGCCGCCATATTTGCCTTGTGCGGCCTCTTTGTTGGCATCGTTCCTAGCATCGTGTCGATACGTTGGCAGCGCGACTTCAGATCGGTGTCGTCGGTGTCACTTTGTTGGTTGTAGTGAACCCTGCAGAAGCCAGCGCACGTGACGGACGATGGGCCGGCATCTGAGATCATTCACTGCAGCATTTAAGCTGCAAGTGATTGACTATGCCGAGGAGCACGGGAAATGGGAAGCTGGACGAAAGTACGACGTCGATGAGAAGCGCGTGCGTTACTGGATGAATCAGAAAGATGCCCTCGCCGCTACTAACAGGAGCCGAAAGGCGTTTCGCGGGAAAAAGTGCAAGTACCCGCAACTCGAAAGCGAGCTCGTCAACTACGTCGTCGACACACGAAGGGACGGCTACGCCGTATCGACTGACATGATACGCGTCAAAGCCCTCAGCATCGCTCGCCACATGGAAATACCCCCGGCACAATTCAAGGCAAGTCGGGGCTGGGCTACGCGGTTTATGAACCGTAACCAGCTTTCTATTCGGCGCCGAACGACGATTTGCCAAAAACTGCCGCGCGAGTACGAAGACCACGTCATTAAGTTTCATCGCTTCGTGAATGCTCTCAGGAGGGAGCATGAATACGACCTGTCCCAAATTGGGAATGCGGACCAGACACCTGTGTGGTTCGATGCACCGGAAAGCACCACAGTGGATTTAAAAGGTGCGAAAAGTGTGTCTGTGCGCACGACTGGTGCAGAACGCCAAAGGTGCACTGTGATGTTGTGCATCACGGCAGACGGCAGGAGGCTTCCGCCGTACGTCGTATTTAAAAGGAAGACTCTCCCAAAAGAGAAGTTCCCTCAGGGAATCGTCGTACGTGCGCAAGAGAAGGGCTGGATGTCCGAGGAACTGGTCGTTGACTGGATTAAGACCGTCTGGGCAAACAGACCTGGAGGGCTGTTACAACGGAAAGCCCTCCTTGTTTTGGACAGCTTTAGGGGCCACTTGACCGACCGCGTCAAGAACCGAGTTGCCGCAACTCGTACGGACTTGGCCGTCATTCCCGGTGGCCTGACGAGTGTGCTGCAGCCGCTCGACGTATGCGTCAACAGACCATTCAAAGTGGAATTTCGCCGATGTTACTCTGAATGGATGGCTGGAGGCGTCCACGAGAAGACCCCTACAGGACGGCTGAAGCGGGCGTCGCTCCAACAGGTGTGTGAATGGATTTTGAATGCGTGGCGTGCCATGTCAGTAGAAGTAGTTGCTAAAAGCTTCAAGGTAACGGGAATTTCGAACTCCATGAACGGCACCGAAGATGACCGTCTCTGGGAAGACGCGGACGCCGAGGCGAGCTCCTCCGAGAACGAGGACAGCGAAATGGAATCCGAATAAAAACATTTCTGGCATGTCATTTGTGACTCTTGCACTCTGCTACTGTTGCATAAACAGTACAGACCTTTGGCCTGTACTGCCTGTACTAAATCGGCCTGATTCGTGTAAGGGCCGCACCTAGCAAAATTTTCGAAAAAAAAGTGCGGCCCTTACACGAGTATATACGGTAACTTTTTTCCTAGCGCAGAGTGACACATGGACAAAGACAGGGAACGACACCAGCGCTGCTGTTGTTCCTTCTATTTGTCTGTGTGTCAGTCTGCACTAGAAAAAAGTTAATACATTGTACACCTGAGTGCTTTTCAGTGAAATATTTTAGCTGGCTATTATAGTATATATATAGTGGGAAAATATGGTTTATACTGAACATTCTCTGTATAATACAACTTCTATTTACATGTATAAAGAGAATTGTCTGGTTAATCTTCCTACGAATATGTACAGACGGCACATGGTGCTAAATAAGCCTGGTGGTTTGTGACAGCAGTGTGGCAGTCATGTCTTCGTGTGTTGTCAAATGGGTGCATTGCCATACAAATTCATACACTCAGTTTCCAGCCATGGCACAGGCATCTTTGAGCAGAATATGAGAAATACCTGAGTGCTTCAAATCGGTGGATTCTGAAGGGGTACTAGAAACACATTTAATTGCTTCAGTCATGCATCTTGTACATGAATAGTGTTGCAATATATTAATTTCAGCTGAAGCCAGTAGGTCGCCTGACCTTGTGACCACTGAAACATTTAGCTGGACGAGTTACTTGAGGTCAAGTGCCTGAAACACATGGCCCGTGTACCTTTCGGTAGTGGCCCCGCCCGCACATAACTGTTTTCGTCTCGTATTTCTTTATGACCAAAGTTTTCCCGCATTGTTAAATGTTACTCGGATTATTTCCTCACCTGCTGCGATTATTAACGCCTTGTTCAGGCATGCTATGTAGGTGTGTCGAGCGCTGTTTTCGTGAAAAACTTCACGCGTGAACATGCCTGTGCCATGGAACTTGTAGGATTCAGAATCCTATCCAGTTTCAGTAATTCTAGAATCGGGTGTCAGCATGCTGTTCAAATCCTGATTCCAGATTCCCTTCAGATTTGACTAACATGAAAGATATGTCAAAGATCTTGCCTTAAAAGAAAGTGTTAGCAGACTCCTTGTTCAAATCAGTCCCTCTCCCCATTGCCCTCCACCTTTATTTTTGTCCTGGCCTATGCGGTACAAAATTTTGTGATTGCGGCCCACTAGCTGGAGTTAGTTTGGAATGCCTGATTCAGGTCAACCGGAATATTGATGTATATATATGTGTTTGTGTGTGATGAGTCGTAGCAGGATGCACAGTTGTAGAGGCATTTACTTGGACGATCATAGTATAGATTAATCTAAATCTGTATGAATGGTGACCTTATAATGAAGATTTAAAGTGCTCTTATTAGTTCACCCTGAAACTTTTTAAATGAAAATAGAGGACTTCAGATCGATGGAAGCAACTATATACAAATTTTTTGTGCTCATAACCTCGAGTATTCCACCGTTTGACGTAGCAGCTTCACTTAATAAAGTAAAGTAATCAATAAAGGTGGCTGGCTGCACAGCCATTTTGCCGAAGTGGCACTTTCCTGCTATTACTGATGGTATAATTTTGCAAGCCTACACACACTGTAATTTGGAAGGGTGATGAGGGTCACCTCATCATGATACGACTTTCAAGAACTGAGCGATGAACATTTTGTCAGTTAAAGGGTGGAACTGTGGGACTAGAGTAGTTAAATGTTTTAAGGGGATGTTTGTTTCAGCCTGCCGATAATTTTGGTTATGTTAGACCAGTTTAACACAATCTTAAGCAGTACTATGAAAAGTGTCAGGAAATCAAAAAATTAATATCAGCCAAATGCAGTCTTGTTTATCTTACCAGTGAAGACATGTTAGTGCTGGGGGCTGACGCGTTTCATTGGCATGTGATAAAACATGCAAATTGTTCAAGACTTTCACAATGTTCTGTCTTATTGACTGGAACAGGACTTAATTGATTTGTTACACCAGTCATTGATTTACTGCTTGGAGTCTTGAAGGATACGACGTGCGTGCTCAATCACCATTGCAGTAAATCTTCCAGTATTCATGAGTAACTGTATTACACATTACGATGTCTGTGATCGCTGACAAATTGGCCGCTTGGAGGCTGATATGAACTATGTTCCGTAATGGGATACATCCAGATGAAGTACTTATCTATTTCGCCCAGTTACGACACGCGCAGACATGTATGTGTACTGTTTAGGTGTAATGTAATAAAAAAAAAAAGAGCCGATAAGAGGGATAGCACTGGGAGCCAAAGTGGTCACTTGGCAACCTCGATTACAGAGGCCCGAGTAATCGTAGGGAGGGTCCCGTGTTTAGTTCCGCGTTTGCATTCCCGGTTGGATAACACGCACGGGTCACGTGGAATATGCTTGAATTCAGTTGCAGTGGTCGTGCCAGTTGATACAATTAAATGCAATATCGTAACGCGCAGAAGAGAGGTTTTAAAATGTATCAATGATCAAATATCGGTCTTGCTTCCCATGCACACCACGTAGTACTTCCGAAAGAGATTGCAAAATGCGGTGTTAACAAACATTGATATGTTGTCTTTCCAGATAACATATTTTCCATCAAGTCCTGGGTAAAGAACAAGTTCTTCATCGAAGAGTCTGTGCTCAACAAACAGTTCGGCATCCCGGAAGAACTGGACTATGTTTAAACATCGCGAAGAAAAAGAAAACATATAACTTTATTATCCGCATACAGAAGTAATATTTAACGGAATTTCATCAGCTGTCGCTCTTTGCTATTACGGCTGACGCAACAGCTGTTGCGTCAGCCGTATTACTCGACGCTTGAAATGTAAATAAAGATGTATCAGTGTGTTTCCAGTGCGTGGTTTATTGCCGGCCGGCCTTAGGCGTTATTGCAGCTATGAAACCAGCGAACTCGACTTGTAAACAATTGTTTATAGCGCGAGATCAGAACTACGACAGAGGGACAAGAAGAAGACAAACGCTAACTTCCAACTTAGTTTGTTTGTAGCCTCTAATCCATGGCTCATACCCACTCTGGGGGATTGGCCAAGAGAACATAGTCTCATATGGACGGTAACTGCACTTTTGCTTACAACAAAAAATAAAAAAAGCCGTAGAATGAAGAAAGCATATTAAAAAAAAGGGAAACAAAGATTCAGAGAGTGAGAAAAAAAAAAATCAACTGCTTAGCGCTCGTCTTCTTGTCCCTTCGTCGTTGTTCGGATTTCGCGCAATAAACAATCTTCATGTCACACCAACCAGCCCAAACCATGGCCCAAACTGCCATGCCTCGACTTGCAGCATTAGTTGTTGTTGGTCGACACGATGCAACATTCAGAGGCGTCTTGCATAAGAAGATTTGAGAACGCACAGCCGAAGCGCGGGCGAAACAAAAGTTAGGTGGCGCAAAAGACGTCTGTTGTAAACAGCTGGTCCAACGCCTCCTCTAGAAAGATGCCTGAGGAATGGCTCGCGCTCCCAGCGGAGTTGGCCTGCCTTCAGTTTTAAACAAGCTCCGTGCGGTAGCGCTGAGCGCTCGCGACCAACCCTATTACGGCGACGGGCGGTACCAGTTAAGCGTTCTTCATCTGCGGCCCATAGGGGCGCGTTAGTCGAGAGCTGTTCAAGATCTGCAACTGTGCATCACTGTTTTGGAGGCTATGCAAAGTGTTGCGTTGTTGCACCGTCCGCCACAGGTGACGCTAGCGACCGAGAACATTTTCAAGTTGAAAGAGAGAAAGGATGTGGCAGCTGTTTTTTTTTCTCATGCGGCAGGCATCTTCCTAGAAGCGGCGTTGGCTGGTCCACCCCATGACATCATTTTCTATCGAGCCAATGGGAGCGCGCGCTAAAAGTTGCGTCTCGTCCAATCCGCGAACGCCACGATCGGTCCCTGGCTCTGCTCTCAGTCCGGTTTTCGACGACGCAGCGGAATGGTGTCGTAGGGTGTACGCGACTTTTGGCGTAGTTTCAGCTATGCTGCGATCGACTCCGTTTGTGTCGTACTCACTCTAAAGTGATGTCTCTCTGAAGTATTTCGGCGTGTTTACACGTCTCCTGACAACCACCACCTCTACCTTTGTCTCATCATGGGTGTTCCTAAGAGAATCGTCATCACCGCAGTTCGCGACCGTTCATCTTCGGAGAAAGCTACCATCATTGCACCTAGGGATTGGCACGTCAAGTCCGAAATGGAAGTCACCGTCGCCGAGCCCGTCGTCACCGCCGCTGCTCCGGTGAGGAAAAGGCAGCGGCTCGACCATCTGACGCGGGAAGAAAAGATCATGAGAAGGTGAGTGGAGATTTCTTCCGCTGTTTGCGGAAAACTTGCGGTGAGGAAATGGAATGTAGCTTGAGAATGTTTCGGGCGGACAGGAAACCGGTTAGCGACCGCTGCCTTCGGAGAGAAAGCTGACCCTTTTTATCTGATGTGCGAGCTACTTTCGCAAACGTGTTTACGTCAGACGCGTAATTCGTTGCACCTCTCGCTTTTCACGTATTCGGTTTGGTTTTCCCTAACCCTATGGCTTGCGTTCCCCGTTCTAAAGACGTATTTTATCGGCGAACGCGGTGGCTAGCCTCTACGCGCAAAATTATGCGTCTCATCGCAGTTCACAAACAGGCCTAACGAAATTGTGTTGGTCGCCACGTCGACAGGACGCGCTAGCCGCGTTGGCAGCCTTCGTGGCTTGATCTATCTCTGACGTCAAGCGACATTCATGTTTTGTATCCGCCGTTGCCGTGGCGACGACGCCCCGGTGTTGCTTTCGTTGCGTCAGCCGCAGGAACGCTTGCGCCGCCCCTTTGGGTTCCGTGAAGCGTGTGTTGTGTTCAGACGTGCCGAGTGATTTGATTGCGGGAGATCGTGCTTTGGCAATCGCGTGAGCCGCAATGCGCAACCTTAATGCCGAGGTTGCAGTAGCGCTGTGCCGCAGGTTTCCGACTTTTGTGAAGAGATGTTGTGCGGCTCCTGCGGCAATCTTAAGCAATAAAAGGGACACTCTTGCATCAACTTCATTACCACGATAAACTTCATTCCTTCCTGTCTTGGACAAATTTTGTGCATTTCTTACCTTCAGTTAATCTGGCATTACATTTGTGCAATATGATTTTATCAGGTTGCTGCATTATAACCGTATTTATAAGTACCATAACTTATTCAAGTTATTTGATCCTGCTGACAGTGTAGTGTTCACAATGAACCGAGTGATTGGTTAATATATTCGGCCAAACATTAGAGTACCGATATATACACCATTTTACCAGGCTATTGCCGTCTAATCAGATTTGTGGATACCGTAAAGTAGTATCAACTTGTTTGATCCTGCTAACAGTGTGTCTTGCACAGCACTACATGAACTCTGATGGCTTGGATAGTCGTTAAGTGCATTTTTGCCCATTGTACAACATATGCGTAATGTCATCCTCGCGTGTACTTTGTTGTTTCCCTGCATATGAGAAGGAATACTTGAGTGCTCGACGGTGCAAACGTGTCTGCTCCCAGGAAACTGAAGAACCGCGTGGCAGCACAGAGTGCCAGAGACCGGAAGAAAGCAAGGATGGATGAACTCGAGGAGCAGGTCACTCGGCTGCAGGCAGATGTGAGTGACATTTTGTTTTCTTCCAGCATGTGCACGTGTATGTCATGCTCTTTGTGATTTGAAGGACACCCTAGACGTGTTCATGGGAACTGTCATACAGGCAAGACAGCCTGTGTAATTAACAGGAAGCTTTTTAGGCTCTTGGCACAGTAGTGGTGCAATGTCATTGTGCACTAACATAAGCAGATGTTTGTGGAGTTCCTTCATTAATGCATTCATGGCTATTTTTCGGAAACCATCTTCACTTACTAAAACCAAGGCATGCGAGATGAAATGCTACTTTTTGTGGCAGTAAAAATTGAACTCATGCTGCGCTCACAACCAACATTTTGAATAAATTTTACTATGTGCTTCAGTTGATACATACTGAAATTGAATATGTTAATGAGGCTGTCGCCAGGGGGTGGCACACTTAACACGTGCCCCCCTCCCCCGTGAAATAATGTTTCACCATTGCGTAGAGAGCGAAAAATGGGCCATTTTAAGAGGTTGCCCCTCCCTAAATCTAGCTGGCACCCTCCCCCCAAATTTTTCTATGTGCCTGGCTGTCGCTCAAAAAATCTCAAAAACATTACCCAAAAGGAATGCCACAACAGCTATGATATTGAAAGCACAATGTTTTCCTTTTTTTGTTTATATATTTTCTTCGTATTTCTTCAAGTAAGGCAGGCTGGTGTTTGCTGTGGTTAAAATACACTATTGATTAGTGTAAAAGGACAAAACTATAATTTGGGATGTTTTTTCTCTAGTTACCAACACCATCACATTAGATTGTAGCATTTTCCATTGTGCAACCGGAATACTGCACCAAACTGCCGCTCTGTGCAGTGACGTGTGTGTGCGTGCTTCCCGTCTACTCCTTTACTCTTCTTCCAATCTCCCCTTTCCCTTTGCAGGGTAGCATAGCGGTTATGCTAAACTGGTTAACATCCCTGCCTTTCCTCCACTCCTTTTTCTTTTCTTCTATTAAGCAAACTGCTTGCTTGGAGGCATATGCAGTCTAATTATGCATTCCAAGATATTTTAACTCCGTTAAGCTTTCACGAGATGTCACAATAGTACTGATATTTATAGTACTAGCTTTTACCTGCTAGTTTATATGGGCAAAAAACCAGTGAAAACCAAAACTGAAAAAAAATATGGTGCACTTTCACACACCGGCAATGATATTTGAATAGTGTGCCCTCTTTATTGTTGTATTGGGTTTTTGCTGCTTTTTCTGCATTTAAACATGAACCAATGCTTCCTATCTACAGGTCCAGCTAATTTCTGTAAGCACCCTTTGTTTATTTTATTCATTCGAGGGGTTTCAGCTAGTTTCAGAACACAGCCATAAGCAAAAATCCTGCGAACTGACTTTGCTTTCTTCTCTCTCTTCTTTTTCAATCTAGAGGACGGCCCTGATTGAAGAGAATTGCCTTCTGCGCAAACGGCTGGAGGAATGCCAGAGGGAGAATCAGCAACTCGTTCAGAGGCTGGAAGCCAAGCCCAGCACCCAACCACCCAGTCCCATTTGCACAGTCACTACCACTCCATCCCTCCCTGCACCAGTCATCAAAGTCGAGGTGAGAAAATGAGTACACTTTACGCTGTAGGATTGAAAGAGAGTTCAAAACCTTGTTCTGTTATTGGCACGTGGGAGCCTTTAATGCATGCGGTAGCCCTCCAAAATTTTTACCACAGTATGCAACTCATTGTCGTTGCCTACAAAGTTGGTGGCATTTTACAACACGTCAATCTGCAGTTTGTCGGCCCATATTATGTAATTCACAATTTTTAGGAAGTGCGAGGCAGTGCAGGCCATGTTTTTGTAGTTGTACTTATTGGATGGCACAACCAAGCTTGAGATGTATAAATTGTAAGGTTTTATAAAACACTTCCTTGTGCGAGATTACAGATTATTTTGACCACCAAGAATTTTTAAATGTGCACCTAGTTTTAAAGAGGCCCTGTAACACTGCAATGCCTGTTTTCTGGATGGAGATGTGTAAAAACGCTTATCTTCATCCAAATTAGGGGGGCATGGATACGAGTTCGATGCTGCTACACTGCTTCATCAATCATTATGAGTTCGAACATAAGATGCCGTCAAGTGAGCCAGAGCAAGTACTGGGCCTTTGCAATGTCGTGCTGTCTAGTGATCGCCTTTTCTATGATGTCATTATACATTATCCTTGTGCAAATGAAAGTGAAACTTGGTGCAAGAAAAGTGTGCGCTGTGAATCGCCAGTATATATTAGTTCGGCACTCCTTGCCCTTTACTAAATTGGAAAAAATAAAAGTACATAAAGAGGCACGTCATTGCTCATTCAAGGGCTTGTATGATGGCTGTGTTGTGTGTGGCTTTCCTAAATTTAAATTTAGGCACTGTCTAATTTTGTCCTTTTTTTTTTTCATGGACCGAATGCAGCCGTGTTCACCACCAGAGATCGAAGCTAGCAGCAGTTCCTTTGAGTATGCATCGCTCATCAGTGGACCTCTGCAGCAGGACCAGGTTCCGCTGCGAGCTCTTGCTCTCTGGATGATGCAATTCGGCTTCTGGCAGCTGATGACGAGTGCGACGACCTCTTTGCCCTGCTCCAAGAGTGCAGTCAAAACCTCCTCGGTGGCATACCCCTCAACGAGGATGTCGCTCCTCTGCCTGTGCCTCCTGCTGCTCCTGCTCCATCGGCAGCAGCAAAGCCCGGGCAGTCGCCTGTTCGAAAACGGAGTGCCTCCTCGCGAATGGTGGGGGCCTCACCAGAAGAGCTGGACTCCATCAAAGAATTGATCCACTTCGACCATGTCTACTACAAACAGGAAGATGGCAGCACCAGCGCAGGCACAGCTGATGTTGTCATGGAAGATGTCTCAACAACCGTAGCAGCAGCAGTGACAGCGTCGGCTGCCCCTTCCCCTTGCACTCAGGTTTCGACGTCGGCCCCAGTGTCCCCTGCATCGGTCGTCGAGGTCGAGGACACCGTGGTTGTCGTCGAGGACTGCCCGTCCCCACTTCCTGGAAGCCCCGATTTGGCCCCTTTCGATCTGAATTCGGTTTCTGTCAAGGGCGGTGCCGCACAGGGGTCTGTCCATCCACCGCAGGAGGCTCTGTCATTGCCACAGTCATTCAAGACAGCTGCCAGCCCGTCAGCACACAGCACGGAGACCGGCTACGAGTCTGCGATGTCCCCGCTGAGCGACTGCAGCTTCCGGGAAGACAGTCTTTTCGACGACTCTCCTCCTTGGGTGGACCCCTTGTCGGAACTGTTCCCGGCACTGGTGTGAAAACAAAAGTGGACTAATATAACAAAAAAAGACTGAATGTGCGTGGAATAACGGACAGTGAAAAGGTCGATCGTTTTCTTCTGTCGCTGTCTACGTGCACCATTTTATTTATAGACTTTCCGTGGAAAGCAAAAAGCTGTACATAGTGTAAATATAATGCAAACAAAGGTCATGTTACTGGCAGTGGTGCTGTTACTGCTGCTACTATTTTGTTGATGATCTTGTATGATAATTAAAGCTGACTTGCATATACCTGTTCCTGAATGTTGGCTGCACCTTTTTTTTTGGAAGGAAAGCTCTATCTATAAATATGGCAGTAGTTAAGGCACTCACTCCATGGCCTTTTTGTGTTGTCATTAGCCATTTCTGCTCTGGTATTCTTGTTGGGGGTCCGAGGTGGTGTCTACTGGTGTGCGTTTTCCAATAGTTGGGGCCTTGGAAAACCACAAACTGAGGATTGAGCCACTGGTCTAAGTATTGGTGTATTTGCAAAAGAGACGTTATATGGCTGTGAAAAGAGAACAATGGTTTCTTTTTACCTGATACTCGCTGGGATACACAATATCGAACTGACGACTTATTTGGCATTGCAGAAGACTTTGAAACCACTTTGAGACTTTTTCCCAATAACTGCTTCTGAATGCCCTGTTTCAACTGCTATGGTGTCACCCGTGGCTTTGATCAGGCTTTTTTGTAGATTCCAGCTCCGCAAAGATGCCGCAATGATGGTTTCAGTATCGGGTCATAGAAAAAATATTACTCCAAAAGTTGTGCTCTGGTTTCATTGTTGAGGTGCTCAGGTCTTGTTGACGTGCAAATGTCTTGTGTCAATTAACGAGGCCAGGGCCGAAAGGGTCAAGAGGAGATGCACCTCCGAAGTCTACATTGATTAATTTCACTAACTGTAAGAAAGTTCTGAGAATGTCTCGCTGCTTTTCTGAGCCTCCAGCATGTGGGAAATTCGGTTGCACTGCTTTGTGTCATGACAATGTTTTAAATGCGAAGCATTTCTTAGCGAACTTCGGCGACTTTGGGCGTATCTATCTATCTATCTATCTATCTATCTATCTATCTATCTATCTATCTGCCTATCTACCTATCTATCAATGTATCTAGCTGCTATGACTTAGCTCTCTTGGCCGTTTTAGTAATGGTATCGATACCAAACTTGGTATGGCATTACATGACTCTATGAAGAACATATTTGACTAGTTATAACATGAAAAACATGGATGTCATGATTTACATTTCATGGTCATGCAGCGCTTGCGGTGGTTTCGTTCACATGGCATGTTGCAAAAGTGGTATGGTATGACCTTTTTGCATTACGAACACATGTGACAGACCCTAACATGAAAATCATGGCATGCATGTCATGGAACATGACTACATGCCATGCTCATTATGCACTAGCCTCCGTTTCGCTAGCATCGCATATACCAAATTTGGTATTACAGTACGTGAATGGATGACGAAGATATGCGAGTGGTGCAAACCTGATAATCATGAGATGCATGCCATGTAACTACATGATCACATGCCACGCTCCCGATGCCATGGCAGCCGTTTTGCTAGCTTCACTTATACCAAATTTCGTATTACGAGACGTGAATGGTGGATGGAGGTATGATACTGGTGCAAACATAATAAACATGAGATGCCTGTCATGTAACAGCATGCTACGCTCATGATGCGCTCGCGGCCGTTTCGCTAGCTTCACATGTACAAACTCGCTATTACATGACCTGAATGGACGACATATGTAAATGACACATCCAAACATGATAATCAAGACATGCGTGTCATGTAACAACATGACTACATGCCACATTCATGATGCTCTCGCAGTAGTTTCGCTAGCTTCATATATGCCAAATTTCGCATTACATGACGTCAATGGACGATGAAGGTATGTGACTGGTGCAAACATAATAATCATGAGATGCGTGTCTTGTGAAGCATGACTACACGCCACGGTCAAGGCACCAATACATTTCGACGTTACGCAGTGCGCGGGCCCGCCGACGTTCGTTTCATTGCGTCACGCCTGCTTTGCGACGCCATGCGCTGGTTTCGCCACATACTCGCAGGCGTGCGCCGCGCTGCGTTGCTTTGACGCATGCGCGTTTCAGCGCGTCCGGCGTCCCTTCGTCACGGAAAAAAGGGAGACGCAGTGTTGTCTGGGTAACGCATCGGCGCGAATCGCGCGCCGACAGACGCTGGTCGCGCCGGTCGCACCTGCATGGCGTTAGACTATAGATTGCTCGCGTTTTGCGCGTTTTGCTTACGTAGCGTCGCTGTACCCAGTGTGCGCGCGCGTCAACGCTACGTTGGAGTATTATTGGGTCCTTTATGATGCGCTCGCGACCGTTTTACTAGCTCCACATATACCAAATTTGGTGTTATATGACGTCAATCGATGATGAAATGTATGACTGGTGCAAAAATGATAACGCTGACACGCGTGTCATGTGAGAACATGACAACATACCACGCTAATAGCGTGCTCGCGGCCTATTGGCTAGCTCCACACATACTAAATTTGGTAGCACGTGACGTGAAGAGATGATGAAGGTAAACGACACAACCAAACATGATAATCATGACACGGAAGTCATGTACGGCATCGTTTACCTCCACTTCGTAACGTTGTGCTGATTTTAAAGTGACATATCAACCTTTATTCGTACTTCGCATATCATCGACTCCCACTGTACGTGGGATCTGCCAATTTTTTGATACAATATCTTGGTATAGAGTTTGTGTTGCGCTGTTGCATAGTATTTGGGGCTTTTCATCTCAGCAGATGTTTTGAGGAACTCTGTTCACATTCCAAAGAGAAATGTATCTCTGTCGATGAAACTAACTAGGTCCTTGCATTCCACACGTCCTTAATCACCTTCCGTTCTAGCTGGTGTTCGTACAGAGAGGGTAACTGCAGTTGCTGCGCGTGCAAACGCAGTTCATTTTTTTGCAAACGCAGTTCAAAGTTTGACAACCTGGTAGCCAGAATGTTGAGACAGTTTTTTTTTTCTTTTTTAAGCTTGAATGAGCTGTACCAGATACACGTGCTGCAGGCACGTAAAATAGCCTGTGCATGACAGGAACTTGGGCTACGTTATAGTCATAGATGTGCCCACGTAAAGGGCTGCTCCCTGGCAATTTTACAATGTATATGCGCATATGTACATGCATGAGGATATACAGGTGGGGATTTGGCACCCTTTCTGAAATTTGGGGATCCTAAAGCTCGGCTTTAGGAGTGGAACGCGATAGGGATATCTTGTTCCTAGTGCATACTTAGTGCATGAAACTTTTTCGAACTTGCTATGCCCCCACCAAATTAGGCGCAGTAGTGTGTGTGCCTTTTGTAGTGGGTGACCAGGCTTTCACGAAGGTTTTCGAAGTCGTTGTGGTACGTGTTCTAACGCCTGGTGGCAATGGTTGCTTGTACCATGCATTATTATTCAATAAAAGTCTCCGCATAAAGCAATGACAGCCGCAGGGCTTGAAGAGGATACCCGCCATTATCGAAAAGTTGTGGGCCCCGACTGGCATTCCCTTTTATTGCTACGGAAATTTCGTGCCACTTCTCCACCCTGTACGTGTCAAACGCACGAGCGGCATGTAAACGAGCAACGGGGAGAGTGAACTCCTGTAAACCTTCAAAGCTCCTGTTTGATGGCGGCATGTAAAAGATTCAGCGGCGGAGACATCATCACCAGCAGAACGAGGGCTTTTCCCAATGATCTGCCACTGTGTATAACCCTTATTGTGCGAGCTCTTCCTATTACATGCTTCGAAATTCCCCAATTTCATTACGTGACCTGCCCAGGTCATTTTGAAGCGAAATTCAGTACATGGCTAGCCATTCCTTTTGTTAGCGAGCAAAGACGCAGGCATAAATTGAGATGATTTGTGGGGTTTAACGCCCCAAAACCACTATATGATTATGAGAGACGCCGTAGTGGAGGGCTCCGGAAATTTTGATCACCTGGGGCTCTTTAACGTGCACCCAAATCTGAGCACACGTGTCTACAACATTTCCGCCTCCATCGGAAATGGAGCCGCCACAGCCGGGATTCGATCCAGCGACCTGCGGGTCAGCAGCCGAGTACCTTAGCCACTAGACCACCGTGGCGGGGTGCATAAACTGAGCAAGCCTGTTAGCTTTGGTAGGTCACCAAACAATTGAAGAAGCGAACACACTGGTGGCAAACAGCCACGTACGTACGCGCCACACAAATGGAGCAAATTCCACCTGCGTAATATTTTGAGCAAATGCCCCACCCCCCCTTAACAAACCCCCCTCCCTTACTCAATCTCAATTCCTAATTTCAAGTTTCCAAGCCGTTCTCTTTGTCTCCCAGTTTCGCTCTCCGATCGTGCACCACTTCTACGCAACACTGTCAGTGGTGGATCCAGAGAAAAGGCGGTAGGGGGCGACCCCCCCCCCCCCCTTTCCTCCAAAAGTCCGTGCAAGCACCCGCCCCTCCTTCCTCATTTTAGTGCTTGTAGTCCGCCTCCTATCGCCAATTAGGACAAATGAGTGAGACCACGCACGGTGAGCACACATTAAGAGTATTTATGCTATGAAGAGGTTTTTCTGCTAGTAAAAGCAAAGCCGTGACCAAGCTCCCTTCTCCAGTGTTAAGTATACGTCAGGCGATTCCCCCCCCCCCCCCTCCAAAATGGTTGCCTGGATCCGCCCCTCACTGTCTGGCATGCATCGCATCAAGTCCTGCTTAACTACCGAACCTTAAAGCGCCTACATATGGGCCTGAAATGTTTTGTGAACATTTGATCTCTTTCCCCCCGCGTAATGATCGCTCCCTGAACTTAGCGCAAAACACGATTGCCGGGTTCCGCGAGAAAACGCATGCATAGAGATAGTTCGAAATTAAAAAATGGTGCCTATGACACACTATTCATGCAATATATGACGCAGTACGTATAGCCTCCGAAATGTTTGTTTCTTACTTGGAAGAGTCAAATAATAATAATAATAATAATAATAATAATAATAATAATAATAATAATAATAATAATAATAATAATAATAATAATAATATCTGGGGTTTAACGCGCCAAAACCACAATATAATTATGAGGGCTCGAGGAATTTCAACCACCTGGGGTTCTTTTACCGTGCACCTAAATTAAGTACCAAGCTGGCCCTCAAACATTTCCGCCTCCATTGAGATGAGTTCAAGAGTTGCGTTGGCTCGTCATTGAATACACTCCCGTGCCATGCTTCT